ACCATATCAATACCCGCCGGACACCATACCAATACCAACCGGACAACATATCAATACCCGCCGGACACCATATCTATACCCGCCGGACACCATATCAATACTCGCCGGACACCATATTAATACCCGCCGGACACCATATCAATACCCGCCGGACACCATATCAATACCCGCCGGACAACATATCAATACCCGCCGGGCAGCATATTAATACCCGCCGGGCAGCATATTAATACCCGCCGGACACCATATCAATACCCGCCGGACACCATATCTATACCCGCCGGACACCATATCAATACCCGCCGGACAACATATCAATACCCACCGGGCAGCATATCAATACCCGCCGGACAAGATATCAATACCCGCCGGACAAGATATCAATACCCGCCGGACACCATATCAATACCCGCCGGACACCATATCAATACCCGCCGGACACCATATCAATACCCGCCGGACAACATATCAAAACCCGCCGGACAACATATTAATACCCACCGGACACCATATCATTACCCGCCGGACACCATATCAATACCCGCCGGACAACATATCAATACCCGCCGGACAGCATATTTATACCCGCCGGACAAAATATTTATACCCGCCGGACAACAAGTCCACAGGGACACAATTCCGGCCGGACAACAAGTCCCTAGGGACACAATTCCCGCCGGACAACATGTCCTCTGATCAGTATTATCGCCACGTTTCCTACTGAGATTCCATCTCTGACTACTTAGTCACCAACCAACTTCCCTCTGCCACCGTACGATGACGGGCCAGAACTGTGTGTATTATGTGCGCTGGTACAAATGTCAAGGGATTAAATCTTTCTTTCCTTCTTCTGTCTTGAATCTTCTAGTTGAGCACAGGAACCGATGCCAAACTCTTTTTACAACTATTCTTCATCGGTTTGATTTTGCACTAGCAGTTTTTAGCGTAACTAGTCTCGTACCATTCCTTCGTTTTATGCCACTTACGACATGTATGGTAGGCTATAATGTTAGCTTTCGTTGTCTTTTCATAGACTATTGTCGAAGTCAACGCAAAGCGGTATGCTGTCAAATCGTCTGAAGCGTGAATGGAAAGGGATTTCCCGACATGGGAACGCTTCAACCACAGGCTCCGACCAAGGTACATTGACGTAGAAGAATAGAGAAACAAATTATAGACTACAATATATTCTGCGGCAGACTTCGGTTTCTCACTGGAAGCAGACTGCAAAATTAAATGAACACAAGACTGACAAGGAAGGATGAGAGAAGAAAGTTGAAAGAATGTAGAAAGGGCGTGATAGGGGTGTAATTGCAGATCCGGTATTCTCATTGAAGTTCCCTAAGTTTGCTCGACTGTCAACTCTAGGATGTCTAATTTCTTGTGTCGCTATCTAAACGCGATCAAAATCAGATTTCAGCAAATTTAGAAGCCAAAAGAAGAAAGAAGAAAGCCACTGCCAGCTAGGATTAGAAATAACCACAAACCTTGAAATTCTATCAGCTAGCAGGGAAAAAAATAAACACTATCAGAATTAGCAGTCTTCATTGCAGCATGTTTGAAAACACGAGTCTTTACAAGTTCTGACATTATTATTTTTTGCTGAGAAACAAACAAGACAAGGAAATTCGTTGATTCAGCCGCGTAGATTTCACGCTGAAACAGACACTTACCTTGATGCCGGCTTAAGGTGAGCCAACACTTTTTGCTTGCGCCGTTTTTCTGTCGGTTTGTGTGTTTATAGAGATCGTTTGAGTCGTCTGCAGATATCCGACTTCTTGAGTTTCCCGCCACAAAATTGTTGTTCTTGTAATGCTGACGTGTCTAACTGGATGTTTTGTCTGGCTGGAGGTTCTGTATGTAGGAGCAGAGGTGCCAGGTAGTAGGGGCTCCGCTACTTTGGGGTGCCTCCAAACCACATTATATGGAGACTGAACGCCCACGCCAGAAGGAGACAATCGACGTGGATCATGTCATTAGAAGGAGACAATCGACGTGGATCATGTCATTAGAAGGAGAAAGCTAGAGTACATCTTGAAGCTGGGGACGTTGGGGAAATAACGGTTAGGGGGGGGGGGGGTCGATGACTGAGAGGGAGAAAGATTCTGGACAGTTTGGCACCATGCCATGGACATTCATCTGTGTCTGAGTTTGACTGAATGTAGAAAATACAGAAGGTTGTAGATAGACATGCCTACAGACACCGCAACAAGACAAGGCATGCACTTGGAGAAGAAGAAGAGCTCCCTTCCCTGTACCCTCACGCATAGAGTGTGGACAAGTACCCCTTCCTCCGAGGAGCGGCTGGCCGAACGGTAGGACGGTCCTCAAGTGCGAGACCTGGGTTCGAATCCTCGGCGAGGCTGGGGATTTTTTCTGTGGGGGCAAAATAAAACTCTCACCTGCACAGTCCGTGGCGACAGCAGTAGCCATGCTGCCGTCAAACCTCAGGCTCCAAGACTCCCGCGCAGAAGTATATAGGCAATAATTGGCAGTGGGACCCCTCCTCAAACCATCTATTAATATAGATTTAATGTTTTTATAACCAATTTTATTTTACATTTATTACTATATTTATTTGCTATTCAGCACATCTTGGCAATAATAATAACAACAACAACAACAATAAATAATAAGGTTAGTTGCGTATCCTTTACAGGACGTTGCAGAACCAACCCCAATAGCCCCTGGTTGTGGTGTGGTTTTTCTAGGCAAATCTACGTCCAGTAGTTTGCCATTGCTTTCTGCCAACAATAATAGAAATGATAATATTAATAATTTTAAATAACTCCCTTGAGACCTAGAAAATTATTAGAGGGGCTGAGCTTCCCGGCCCCATGACTTGTGTGTAGCGGCGCCCACATCTAGCAGTAACAACTGGGAGATTTGAGCGCCCCTGTGTTCATCCTAACTTTGTTTACAACTACACGGGTTATTGTTGAAGCTAGCGCCGGTAGCCTGTGGCTGCCAGCTTCCACCTGTAGATTAGTATCCGGTAGCTGGGCTGGAGCTTGCCGCTGGAGGCCGGCTTATCTGGGAGTTCGTTGTTGATGGCTAGCTTCCCCAGGCAGCTGTTTTCTGCGGCTGTTTGGGTTCTGTTTTTGTTAGCTGGGTTGTCTTTCTGGTGGTTGACTTACCTGGATCTTTTTTCTCTTTCTGATTTGTCATTTACCTGATTGCTGTTTCCAGTAATTCTTTTTCAGCTACTTCTACCTCTCCTTCTATCTACTTCAACTGCTCCTATCTCCATCAGCTCGTCCTATTTCCTTCTCCTCTTATCTCCCTCAACTCCTATCTCCCCCAACTCCTCCTATATCCCTCAACTCTTGTCTCCCTCAACTCCTCCTAAACTCCCATCTCCCTTAACTCCTCTTATCTCACTCACTTGCATTCGCTTTTAACATAATCGCCCATTTTTCTGCGCAATGCAATGTTATCTCTTGTTAATAATAATAATAATAATAATAATAATAATAGTCTCTGCCAGGCGGTGGCCGTTGCATTTTTGCTCCATTTGCAGACTGGAAGGATATAGTTTCGTCGCCCAGCTTCTGAGTTGAGTGCATGGCGTGACACTGTAAGCTACGCGTGTTTTTCGTTGGCACAGGAGCGGGGCAACTATGGGGTAACCCGTTTACTATGAAGCTGAAACTAGGATTACCAGATTACCCCAAAGAAGACCAGAAATTTGCACCTAGAGACATGACCTGCCGCAAGACGGAGAGCCCGAGAGGCAGAACTAAAGGAATATAAAGCGAATGAGAGAGTGGGTGTGTGAGTGTGTGTGTGTGTGTGTGTGTGTGTGTGTGTGTGAGAGAGAGATGGTCTTCTTCTTCTTCTCTCTCACAGGAGAGGTGGCAGACTGTGTTGTTGTCATAGGCAACGCAATCTAGGGGCTCAGGCCGCTGAAGGCCCCATCAAAGCAGGTGGGTGATAGGAGCTTAGCCTGGCTAGACAGTGTATATGGGGATGAGGGTGGGGCCCTTCTTACATATATACATACATACATACATACATACATACATACATACATACATACATACATACATACATACATACATACATACATACATACATACATACATACATACATACATACATACATACATACATACATACATACATACATACATACATACATACATACATACATACATACATACATACATACATACATACATACATACATACATACATACATACATACATACATACATACATACATACATACATACATACATACATACATACATACATACATACATACATACATACATACATACATACATACATACATACATACATACATACATACATACATACATACATACATACATACATACATACATACATACATACATACATACATACATACATACATACATACATACATACATACATACATACATACATACATACATACATACATACATACATACATACATACATACATACATACATACATACATACATACATACATACATACATACATACATACATACATACATACATACATACATACATACATACATACATACATACATACATACATACATACATACATACATACATACATACATACATACATACATACATACATACATACATACATACATACATACATACATACATACATACATACATACATACATACATACATACATACATACATACATACATACATACATACATACATACATACATACATACATACTTACTTACATGTATGCATACATACGTATGTACGTACGTACGTATGTACGTATGTACGTATGTACGTAGGTACGTACGTATGTGTTTTTTCCTTGTTAGAAGTTAAACACTGAAGCTGCAGAGATTGTGCTGTGTGCGACGTTTTAACCTTTCTGCCGAGAGAGATAAGCCTGTGTGGAATGAGACTGATCCTCTCCAAGTGTATATTTTATGTTCGATTTTAAAATGTAGCATTTTATTTTATTTCCTTGGATTGAAAACACATGTCTTTTTTTTTTTCATGCAGAGAGGTGTCATCAAGATGCGAGGTCAGAAATACTACATTGAACCATCCAAGAATTCATCGTCGCCATCATCCAAAATGCAGACGACATCATCTTCTGGCAAACCATCATACTCGTCGTCGCACTGGTCGGACTTACTTCGAAGTCGACGTCATCTCATCACCAAACTGTCCGCCACAAATTTCCACTCACCTTCCAACTGTAGCATTACTGGTAAGTTCAAGGTCGAGATATATAACTAAAATTTCCACTCACCTTCCAACTGTAGCATTACTAGTCAGTTCAAGGTCGATATATTTAACTAACATTTCCATTCACCTTCCAACTGTAACATTACTGGTAAGTTCAAGTTCGAGATGTATAACTAACATTTCCACTTACCTTCCATCTGTAGCATTACTGGTAAGTTCAAGGTCGATATATATAACTAACATTTCCACTCAGCTATTCTTTATTGTCACTGATGTACTCCCTGACTTAGATACATACCAACTGTATTCTGTAGTTGTCACTGATGTACTCACAGCCCTAGATACAGCACATCCAACAGTATTCTGAAGTTGTCGCTGATGTACTCACAGCCCTAGATACAGCACATCCAACTGTATTCTGTAGTTGTCACTGATGTACTCACAGCCCTAGATACAGCACATCCAACTGTATTCTGTAGTTGTCACTGATGTACTCACAGCCCTAGATACAGCACATCCAACTGTATTCTGTAGTTGTCACTGATGTACTCACAGCCCTAGATACAGCACATCCAACAGTATTCTGTAGTTGTCACTGATGTACTCACAGCCCTAGATACAGCACATCCAACAGTATTCTGAAGTTGTCACTGATGTACTCACAGCCCTAGATACAGCACATCCAACAGTATTCTGAAGTTGTCACTGATAAACTCCTAGCCCTAGATACAGCACATCCAACTGTATTCTGAAGTTGTCACTGATGTACTCCCTGACCTAGATTCAGCACATCCAACAGTATTCTGAAGTTGTCACTGATGTACTCACAGCCCTAGATACAGCACATCCAACTGTATTCTGAAGTTCTCACTGATGTACTCCCTGACCTAGATACAGCACATCCAACAGTATTCTGAAGTTGTCACTGATGTACTCACAGCCCTAGATTCAGCACATCCAACTGTATTCTGTAGTTGTCACTGATGTACTCACAGCCCTAGATACAGCACATCCAACAGTATTCTGAAGTTGTCACTGATGTACTCATAGCCCTAGATACAGCACATCTAACTGTATTCTGAAGTTGTCACTGATGTACTCCCTGACCTAGATACAGCACATCCAACTGTATTCTGTAGTTGTCACTGATGTACTCACAGCCCTAGATACAGCACATCCAACTGTATTCTGTAGTTGTCACTGATGTACTCCCTGACCTAGATACAGCACATCCAACAGTATTCTGAAGTTGTCACTGATGTACTCACAGCCCTAGATACAGCACATCCAACAGTATTCTGTAGTTGTCACTGATAAACTCCTATCCCTAGATACAGCACATCCAACAGTATTCTGAAGTTGTCACTGATGTACTCACAGCCCTAGATACAGCACATCCAACAGTATTCTGTAGTTGTCACTGATGTACTCACAGCCCTAGATACAGCACATCCAACAGTATTCTGAAGTTGTCACTGATGTACTCACAGCCCTAGATACAGCACATCCAACAGTATTCTGAAGTTGTCACTGATAAACTCCTAGCCCTAGATACAGCACATCCAACTGTATTCTGAAGTTGTCACTGATGTACTCCCTGACCTAGATTCAGCACATCCAACAGTATTCTGAAGTTGTCACTGATGTACTCACAGCCCTAGATACAGCACATCCAACTGTATTCTGAAGTTCTCACTGATGTACTCCCTGACCTAGATACAGCACATCCAACAGTATTCTGAAGTTGTCACTGATGTACTCACAGCCCTAGATTCAGCACATCCAACTGTATTCTGTAGTTGTCACTGATGTACTCACAGCCCTAGATACAGCACATCCAACAGTATTCTGAAGTTGTCACTGATGTACTCATAGCCCTAGATACAGCACATCCAACTGTATTCTGAAGTTGTCACTGATGTACTCCCTGACCTAGATACAGCACATCCAACTGTATTCTGTAGTTGTCACTGATGTACTCATAGCCCTAGATACAGCACATCCAACTGTATTCTGAAGTTGTCACTGATGTACTCCCTGACCTAGATACAGCACATCCAACTGTATTCTGAAGTTGTCACTGATGTACTCACAGCCCTAGATACAGCACATCCAACTGTATTCTGAAGTTGTCACTGATGTACTCCCTGACCTAGATACAGCACATCCAACTGTATTCTGTAGTTGTCACTGATGTACTCACAGCCCTAGATACAGCACATCCAACTGTATTCTGAAGTTGTCACTGATGTACTCACAGCCCTAGATACAGCACATCCAACAGTATTCTGTAGTTGTCACTGATGTACTCACAGCCCTAGATACAGCACATCCAACAGTATTCTGAAGTTGTCACTGATGTACTCACAGCCCTAGATACAGCACATCCAACAGTATTCTGAAGTTGTCACTGATAAACTCCTAGCCCTAGATACAGCACATCCAACTGTATTCTGAAGTTGTCACTGATGTACTCCCTGACCTAGATTCAGCACATCCAACAGTATTCTGAAGTTGTCACTGATGTACTCACAGCCCTAGATACAGCACATCCAACTGTATTCTGAAGTTCTCACTGATGTACTCCCTGGCCTAGATACAGCACATCCAACAGTATTCTGAAGTTGTCACTGATGTACTCACAGCCCTAGATTCAGCACATCCAACTGTATTCTGTAGTTGTCACTGATGTACTCACAGCCCTAGATACAGCACATCCAACAGTATTCTGAAGTTGTCACTGATGTACTCATAGCCCTAGATACAGCACATCCAACTGTATTCTGAAGTTGTCACTGATGTACTCCCTGACCTAGATACAGCACATCCAACTGTATTCTGTAGTTGTCACTGATGTACTCACAGCCCTAGATACAGCACATCCAACTGTATTCTGAAGTTGTCACTGATGTACTCCCTGACCTAGATACAGCACATCCAACTGTATTCTGAAGTTGTCACTGATGTACTCACAGCCCTAGATACAGCACATCCAACTGTATTCTGAAGTTGTCACTGATGTACTCCCTGACCTAGATACAGCACATCCAACTGTATTCTGTAGTTGTCACTGATGAACTCCTAGCCGTGCAGCTGACAGGAAGTGTCTACAAACTTTTCACTGACGATATCGGTCAAGTCTGCCTGGGCGCCCTAGATTACCTCCGCTTGCCAATGAGGAGGTTTCATTAGAATGGACTGATATGCTGTCAGCCATCGTCATTACCGTCCTCTTCCTTTTTCTTGTTTATCGACTTCTCATCGCAAGTGTTAAAATATTAATGTCACCTGGTGTTATTGGAAAGCCTGAGAAGAAACTTTGTACTGTCATCATCATCATGTAGCAGGTCCTTTGCAAAACGTCGCTCTCATCACAGACTGCCTGAAAGAAACTCGGCCTCTCGCCAGTTCACCCGCCTCATGTACTTTCACACTCAGGGAGTCACTTATATCCTGTGCCCATCTTCGTGTCGGTCGGCCCCTGCCCCTCCTTCCTGGTACCATGCCTTCTGCTATAATTTTTTCCAATCCGTCTTGGTGCTTGAAATGACCAAAATATTTCAGCTTTCGAGACAGGATGCTGTTTATTAGCCAATCTTCCTTGATGTTCAGATCTTTCACGACGTCAGTATTTCTGCTCTTCTTTGTCCAAGATATTCAGAGACTCTTTCTATAGCATTTCAGCTCAAAAGCCCCTATTCTCTTTCTTAAGGACTGAGAGATAGTCCACAACTCACATCCGTATGTAGCCTCAGGAAAGATGCATGCTCTCAAAATTCCAATTTTGATCTCCTTGCTGGTGCATAACCATAGGCTTTTAAGGTTGTTCAATCTTTGCACTGCTATGGCCATCCTCCTTTTAATTTCTGTCCAACAGTCTCCATTGCTGTTTATTATAGAGCCTAGAAATTCAAAGTTTGTGACATTTTCAATTTGTTCATCATTTATTGTTATTTTTCTCTCTGGATATTATTTTTGTTTTCTATAAAATTAAGTGCAGATTTTGATATTCACTGTGCTTTTGGACAGACCATATTACATTTTGTATTCCCTTTACGCTGTTCGAAAGGAGGACTGGGTATGCGTAGTGAAGTTCCGGAATAGGGTTGCCACCAATTTTGAGCGGATCATAACTGTGACTTTTTACCAGAGAGAACAAAAAAAGCTGGCCAGGATTTGTAAAATCTAAAATATGGCACAGGACAAAAGAGAATGGACGAATAGACAGCAGGCCTTATGTGATGTGTAAACGGCAAACAAGGGCCATTATGATGACGCTAATGATATTGATGAAGAATGGGTGAACTCTGTAGTTGTTGTTATTGTTGTTGTTGTTGTTGTTATTGCTGATGTTGAAATAAACAACTATGCTTAAACTTCCCGGACAGAAAACTTCAAGCATCACCGTTTGAAGTCGACACTGGAGAGACTAGCCGCGAGAGAGAGACTTTACAGTAGCCAAGACTCCTGGGGAAGAGCAAGAGGGAGTGATAGAGACATGGGGAGAGGGCAGGGAGACAGGAGGAGGAGGAGATCCGTGGGCGTGTCCCGGAAGCACACGGTGGAGACCCTGGTGGTAGCTGACGCAAAGATGTACAAGTTCCACGGGGAAGACGTGCAGCAGTACGTGCTGACGCTGATGTCCGTTGTGAGTCACTTTGTGTCTGTCTCACCCTAATGTCCGTTGTGAGTAACTTTGCCTCTGTCTCACCCTAATGTCCGTTGTGAGTAACTTTGTGTGTGTCTCACCCTAAAGTCCGTTGTGAGTAACTTTGTGTGTCTCTCACCCTAATGTCCGTTGTGAGTAACTTTGTGTGTGTCTCACCCTAATGTCCGTTGTGAGTAGCTTTGTGTATGTACAACGAGGCAGCCGTGCTGTTAATCCATGAAACAAATGTCTTGTATTTCCATCGATAAACTGTTGCATGTTGTATCTGTCGCAGGGAAGAGGAAAACATTCACGTCTGATAAAACCTGGGAGTCAACAGTCATGAGTTCATCATAACATTTACATTGTAACATTTTAGAGTATGGACTTAAAGCAAGAGTCCTGGGAAGTAAAGGCGGTCGGCGTGATGCTGACCAGATTACCCATCTTGTGCTGATTGGTCTATAATAATATAGGTCTCGCCCTATGTGCCCTATACGCCTAAAGGCGTGAAAAAGGGACGTATTTTTTTTTTAACATAAAGCAAGATACAGAGATTGTTGTCAAACTATTGGAGATGAGATGTGACTAGCTCATCTATGGATGAGTTTCCTAAACAGTTACGTAAGGATTGTCATGCGCTTTGACTGAATTAAAACGGGCAGTAACTTCGAAAGTGTAACCCATTTTTTTTTTCTTCTAAAAAATAAAAAAAATAAATCGGAAATTGTGTAAATGAAACGTCAACTGAGCCGTGGATGATCGAAGAACACATGGAGGGATCTGAAGACAATTTACTGAGTGAGGTGGTAATTAATGGACGCAGTTGTTCACCCCCCACTGCCAGATGAGATCTAAATGATGTTGACGTCAGTGTTTGGGTGACACTTGCATGAAAGACACCGCCACCGTGTCGACGGGAATGACCTCTGCTGTTTACAAGTTCATATTTCGTTCAGCGCAAACTGTGTGAAATAAACAGTTTGCAGAAACATGCCCAGTTCTTGTGTGTTGTTGACATGTGTACTCATGTGCTCCCCAGGGGGCTGGGAACATGCTCAAGGGGTTTTTATGGCTGGAAATAATGTATGTTTATGTCTGCTTTGACAGGTAAACTCTGTATGTATGTGTGTGTGTGTGTGTGTGTGTGTGTGTGTGAGACAAGCAGGCAAAGTCTTCAAGTTATAGATTGTGTGTGTGTGTGTCTGTGTGTGTGATAGAGAGAGAGAGAGAGAGAGAGAGAGAGAGAGAGAGAGAGAGAGAGAGAGAGAGATAGAGAGAGAGATAGAGAGAGAGAGAGAATCTGTAACTTGAAGACTTTGTATGTTTGTCTTAACCTTTGACAGTTTCTATGAAACTAAAGTTTTCAGCAACTTTTGAAGATATATCAATGAAGATACATTTTTATGGAAAACCGTTTAAAGTTGTTTAATGTCGGTGTGCAACCTTGTCTTTGTATACTCTTGTATGTTTCAACTACTAAGAGAAATGTGTTGGTATACCCTTCAGTCACACAACTCCTCCTAGTTGTCGGCCCTAATCCCTAAAGATTATTTTGTGTAGAAGACTGGACAAAGGAGTGAATAGAGGGGGTGGGGGGGGGGGGGGGGTGGGGTGGGGTGTGGTTCTGTATGTTTAAAACATGGACAACAAAGCTCATGGCAATGATCTGTTCTCATTCACTCTGGCTCCAGTCACTTGCAGACTGCTCTTTCACACACCGACATCAACACCACGAGTAAAATGGGCGACAGTGAAGTACAATGCGGTTTCACACTTTATTCTCTACTCGCTGTTTCTTCAGCCGGTACATGGGAAGGACATGTCTAGGTAAGAAACGTTTACTCAAATACACAAAGATACTGATCGACTTTACCTTTAAGCCGAAATTACAGCCATCCTTACACAATAACGTTGAAACAAAACAACGTTTGTCCATGACGGTGACGAACACAATCAGCTGGCAATGACGCAGACGATTTCCTTCAGTCCTCGCTGCCTGGCCAGGTAAGGCGCCAAAATTCTACCAATACATTCAGACGTAGACACACACTTCTCCGCTCTCCATGCTCTCCATTGGCCCAAACGAGACTGTCCACATGCTCTTTCTAAGGCAATATATAATCTTTTACCGCCCACATTCTAATTATGCCCCATACGACTTTTTCGTCTTATCTGATTCACACAGGTTTCATTTGGCCAACATTTTTCTCGTGCATCTCGGCTTTGCACTCGTTACATTTAAATTTCTCATTCATATTTATTACCTGACGTCATTCTTGCTGTAACTTAACGTATCAAGGAGAAAATGGTTCACTACACTCATAGTTTCTAAAAGAAGGATAGGGTACCTTTCAGGAACTAGTATACATGATATAATAATAGATTTATCTTTTTCTTCCTTTCGTTTACCGGCTATAAACTCCGGCAGAAAGTTCTGCTTGTCCAACACATAAATAAAATTATATAAAATGTTTAACGCAACGTCTGCAATAGAGAGAGAGAAGTGAGCACACGATGTGCGCTCGCCACAGGTAATAAAGCCTAACCACTCCATAGCATATTTATAGCATAGTCTGACACAACTAGGATCTCATCAACACATTATATAAGCGGTTAGACACGGCCACGTTCAATCACTCGATCTTGTCAACAAATTATATAAGGCATTACATAAAGTTAGTTGCGTATCCTCTAGAGGTCGTCGTAGAACCAGCCGAGCAGTTTTGACTCTTGTGGTTTTTCCTGGCAAATTGACATTCAATAGTTCGCAAACATAAGGCTACGTACAATCAGCCCATATTGTCAACAGGTTGAACAAGGTTTGAAACAGCACCGTGGAGTATCACGTGATCTAGTTAATGTTTACAATGAAAGAATTCTGAGATCTGTTAAAGATATACCGGGCATATCAGAATACTGGCATTATGTCAACAAGGAGCGACATGTTGATGGTACGGTTTTGATCGCAAGAAAGGAAATGTGCGGTTGCAAGAAGTGAACGATACCACTGTGAAGACAACGCATTAGTTTAAACGCCATGAAAAGATACTAGACTCTGTGAGAAGAAAGTGAGAAGAACGAACGAACGAAGTTTATTTTCGAAGGGTCACAAACTGGGCACACAGACCTTACATTCCAATGACCCATCTTGTGCACACCGGTTGTATTTGGTAGTTAGGAAAGAAAAGAAGAAACAGATGCAGAGGAAACAGAAGAAGAAGAAAATAATAACAGTAATAATAATAAGAAGAAGAAGGAAGAAGAGGAAGAAAAAGAAAGAGAAAAAGAGAAGAAAAAGAAAAAGGAAAAGAAGAAATAGGAGAAAAGGGGAAAAAAAGAAGAAGAAGAAGTAAGAGAAGAAAAGAAAAAAAAAACGCAGAAGTGATTCTGGTGTATGAAGGTTCAAGGACAGTCAATAGCTTAGCGAGAACAGATAGTGGTGACTGCCGAGAACAGTGAGAACAGATAGTGGTGACTGCTGAGAACAGTGAGAACAGATAGTGGTGACTGCTGAGAACAGTGAGAACAGATAGTGGTGACTGCTGAGAACAGTGAGAACAGATAGTGGTGACTGCCGAGAACAGTGAGAACAGATAGTGGTGACTGCCGAGAACAGCGAGAACAGATAGTGGTGACTGCCGAGAACAGCGAGAACAGATAGTGGTGACTGCCGAGAACAGCGAGAACAGATAGTGGTGACTGCCGAGAACAGCGAGAACAGATAGTGGTGACTGCCGAGAACAGCGAGAACAGATAGTGGTGACTGCCGAAAACAGCGAGAACAGATAGTGGTGACTGCCGAAAACAGCGAGAACAGATAGTGGTGACTGCCGAAAACAGCGAGAACAGATAGTGGTGACTGCCGAAAACAGCGAGAACAGATAGTGGTGACTGCCGAGAACAGCGAGAACAGATAGTGGTGACTGCCGAAAACAGCGAGAACAGATAGTGGTGACTGCCGAAAACAGCGAGAACAGATAGTGGTGACTGCCGAAAACAGCGAGAACAGATAGTGGTGACTGCCGAAAACAGCGAGAACAGATAGTGGTGACTGCCGAAAACAGCGAGAACAGATAGTGGTGACTGCCGAAAACAGCGAGAACAGATAGTGGTGACTGCCGAAAACAGCGAGAACAGATAGTGGTGACTGCTGAGAACAGCGAGAACAGATAGTGGTGACTGCCGAAAACAGCGAGAACAGATAGTGGTGACTGCCGAAAACAGCGAGAACAGATAGTGGTGACTGCCGAAAACAGCGAGAACAGATAGTGGTGACTGCCGAAAACAGCGAGAACAGATAGTGGTGACTGCCGAAAACAGCGAGAACAGATAGTGGTGACTGCCGAAAACAGCGAGAACAGATAGTGGTGACTGCTGAGAACAGCGAGAACAGATAGTGGTGACTGCCGAAAACAGCGAGAACAGATAGTGGTGACTGCCGAAAACAGCGAGAACAGATAGTGGTGACTGCCGAAAACAGCGAGAACAGATAGTGGTGACTGCCGAAAACAGCGAGAACAGATAGTGGTGACTGCCGAAAACAGCGAGAACAGATAGTGGTGACTGCCGAAAACAGCGAGAACAGATAGTGGTGACTGCCGAAAACAGCGAGAACAGATAGTGGTGACTGCCGAAAACAGCGAGAACAGATAGTGGTGACTGCAAAAAAGGCGTGTTTTATAAAAGCGTGAGAGCAGTATGGACAGATAAAAAAAAGATTACCCAAAATGTTTAGATGGACATGAACTCTACGTGTGTGCCACGGTTAGGAGGTTAGTGAACGTGTTTTATTGACGTACCAGGGCTAGATTTCAGCTGCCGGCGGATTGGGATTAGATTTTCCTCGTGGCTTTCCTCGTGTAAGAGAATCACACCGTAGAAAACACTTTTACACCACCAATTAGTATTCCTCAACTGACAGTAAATGCAGATATTTTCTGCAGCCAGCCTTTAGTTTGGGGAAGTGGGGAAACATGGATACCGTTAGATATGTTGGT